AAACATTATTAAAAAAAAAAAAAAAAAAAAAAAGAAGTAAAAATGAACAACCATGCATATTAAACCTTTTTTGATTTATTATTATTTTTTTATTTTTTTTGTAATTACTATTGAGTAGAAGTACTGATATAACATGTTATTACTATAATTCAGCACAACACACAATAGACTCAGACTGAGCTGTTTAGATTATGCCTAAATCCTATTATTAAAAAACTAAAACATTAAATACTGGGTCAAATTAAGCCATTTGTATAAAACCATTATTATAAATTATACTACGGGGCCGTTGAATGCTTCAATCTCTGATTGGCTGACGAACGTTCTGAGGTGTGCAATTATTTTCAGGGAAACGCACGGCGAACGTAGTTCCAGGCAGCTCTCTTGACCGCATTACAGTTCCATATCACTTCGCATAGTTAACTGTAATAATGGAAATTAACATACAGTACCTATACAGCACACAGGAATTACTGCAATCACACGTGCTCGCACACGCACACTACGGTCACGCAGTTTGCACAAAAAGGTGTTGTCAGCGCTGCCCTGACGATTTTATCAGTTAGCCTATATAGTGTAGCAACTTAAAGGCTACACATGACATTTCTCACTAGCGAGGTAATAACAGCACTGTTTAGAGACGCTGCTGCAGAACACTGTTGAGGGACGCACAGAGGTAGCCTAATTCACACAAGCTCTCTCTCTCTCTCTCTGTGTGTCTCTGTCTCTCTCGCTCTCTTTCTAATAACTTCATTAATAACTGCATTAGAATGCTATCAACTGCTCAAGCCTCCATTACCAGCTTTAAAAAGACGTTTTGGAACTAGCAAGAGGCGTTGGATGAGATGCGGAAGAAATAATCCTTCTCATAATAGCGATTTAAGTACAAAAACCGGACGAATCCCTTTAAATATATCATCTGATCGATGTCTTGAGGTGTGGTAACCGTAGTATAATTGGAATAATTAACTCCGGGCCGTTGAATTATTAGAAAAATGATGCACACTCTGCTTCGCGTCGTGGCCGCATCACCACCTCGGGTGTGCATTATTTTTCTAATAATTCAACGGCCCGTCGTCAATTATTCCTTACATATGCACTTCCTGTAAGACAGGATAAAAATGACAAAGACACAACAAAATTAATAAAACTTAAATTAAATTAAGAAAATATTAGTATATCAATGATACCAAAATAACATTAATAAGTAAAACAAAATAGACTAATATGGTTTGAATCAGAGTATCATGTAATTACTGTAATTCCAGAACGTTCATCTATAGGCCTGTTGGAATAGTCTGTAAGCAATATTCTAGACTCTTGTGCAATTTTTGTGTGTCATGCATGAGTGACCAATAAGAGTTTTCAAATCAGTAACCTGAGGTTTCATGATGGTTAGGCCACTTGTGCCTTATGTTGTCTTGAGAAAAAGATCAAATGGAATAATAGAGAGACATTACTTCCTAGTTTAGATCAGTAAACTGGATTAAATGGCATTAGATGGGTGATTACCAGTCCCCCTGCTCTGATGTGATCCAGACCCTTTGCATGTCATTTTAATAAGGTCCTGGATGCAGAGAATGCCAGCAAATAGGGAAATCCAATCAGGACAAAGCTATTCCGATACCTCCTGTAGACCTGATTTGGGACTTGTATTGTTCATTTGAGACTGATTTATGCACAGGACAGTCTGTGAACAGACAATGACAAGGAGGTCATATAATGTTGTATAATTAACCCATGTCTAATGGAGCAGTGCATTTAGGTATGTACATGGGTCAAAGGCAAAAAAGGGTTTTCAAACATCAAAACAATAAAAGTTTAATACAGCTTAAATTTTTTTTCTCCATACATTAGAATGTGTCATGCTTAATTTTATTTTTTCTTAGCAAAAAACTATGACTATCATACATTTGTACCATGAGTTACAGAGTCAAAATGTCATTAAGTCTAACAATAATTCATATAACAAAAAATTGTCCAGTATACTCAGAAACAGAATCATTAGATTACCCCCAAATACTAACTAATTGTGATTTTTACCAATCTTTCTCACTGTCCTAACCACTAGGTTTTACCTATTTGTCAGCTAGAAGTTTGTAACCATTTAAAATATAATAAAATTTAGTATGATCACTTATTCTTTTATATATTTTAATAAGTACAGGTCAGAATAATTATTTTTTACGTAAATATATATGTTATGCTGAATGACAATGGAACATTATTTCACCTATATTTTGACTATAGTTATTTGAAACGTTTAAGTAGAGACTCTTTACTTGCATTTACAGTTTTTCTGAATTGCTAAAGCACATTTCTTGAAACCATCACTCATTTTCTCAAAACCTTAAACACAAATCCAAATACTCAAACTAAATTCACGAAACCTCTGACTCTTCCATCAAAATCAAACAATCACTGCAAAACCATTTCACTTGCACTCAAAATCAAACGGTGCTCTCAGATCACACACACAATAAAATAAACACTACAGAGCATTCATTAGACACTACAGAGAAAAATGGAGAACACAGCATCCAGAACATTACAGAAAAAAAGTATATTGTATTGAGTAAACAATTTTGCAATTCTGTAAAAAAGTATAGTAATTGCAACTGTGTAAGGTGAATATATTGCATAGGCCTGCTGTATGTACTGCAAGAATAGTATTGTGCTGAATACTGAATTGTACTGAATGCTTGTATATATTCAGCACTTGGATACTGAAAAAATACTGCAGTCCAACTGCAAAGGCAATAATTGTGCTGTGCATGTCATTTTAGTGTGTTAGCAATTGGAAAAAACTGTAATTCTGTCTGAGCATCATGTCTTTCTGCTTGAGTCCAGCCTAAGGACTTTGTCCACATCATAAGTAATGTTGTCTTTTTTGCTAGACAAAGAGAAAAAACCCGCTGGTCTGACAGATCCAGCCTTGATAACACTCTCTAAACCTTACTCTTTCTCTCCTCATCCTCCACTTCTTACATGTACTGTTCCTCCTTTCCTTCTCAGATTGTTTCTGTCTATTGTTTGTATGATCATTCAGTCACCTGTGCCACTTGTGCACTCTGAGCTGGCAGTCTGAATCTGAATTATGTACAGTTGGTTTGATCACATCATTAGGAACAAGTGTGAACAATTTTGAATCGTTGTGTGTAAACGATGACAACTGTGCTTTAGTTGTGTTTAACTTTTGCCGCTTGTGTTTAGCATTTTGCAGCACAAATGCATCACAGTGTGATAAGTGTTTAAGTGAATGAGAATGTGCTTAGAGTTTTGCAAAAAGAGTGCATGAGATTTGCAAATAGAGCCTAACTGCCTGAACTTGTTTAAGGTTTAGCAGAAAGAGTGCTTTATTTGACAAATTGGTTTAAGCTGAGAATTTGGGGTTTAGTGTTTTAGCAATTCAGAAAAAGTGTAATATGCTTTCTATGTATATAAAATCACGTTTGTAAATTTAATTTGATGTGAAAATTGACACCAAAATTGAATGTCTTGTTTTTGGCCCAAATGCATGGCGTACCAAAAAGGCCAGGCATATCTCATAGTTACAGCCTGTCTTTGGTTATATATTTATGACCATCATTTGCGACTAGTTGTGAAATGGAGTTCGCTGCTTTAAGCTAATCAGTTGTCAGTCCAGATCTACTACATTTTTGCTTTACATTCAGATCCTAAACATTGAGACCATCTTCTTGATTCAGTTGCTCGGTCTCCTCGGTCTTATAAATAAACTTTGGTTAATGAAATAGCGTGCAGAAAGCATCACAAGCATCACGAAAACAGGGTCAGTATCTGGAATATGTACTTTGGCCGCTACAGTAATGTTGTACGGTTAGTGTGGAAATAGTTGATGGAAATGCGCTTTTGCTGTCTGACTCTCCAAAAACAACTTTTCACAATTTATCCAGAATATTAGTCATTTATGGAGGTTTTCATAATGCTACAATTTATTTTTTGAAACAGCTAATGAGCTTTCCTGTCAAACCCACATCGTTTCACTGCTATTGTTGAGGTGTACTTTTTGAATAAAGCCTTATTGCCTCATAATGGTTTGTTTCATCACCAGTTGCAGGACATTCTAACCGTAATTGTTTCATGGCCGGATTTACATATTTGCTTAAGCTGATTGTGAAATGCTGTGTTTTAAATTCTTACTGCACTACATATATCTCATTAGAACAGCTGTTTAGCCAAATCATAAAAAAGAGGAAACATAGTTGCTGTCAGGACAGGTAAATCAAGTTTTACACCTGCTTAAAATTTAAGTCACAATGGATTTGGATTTTCTGTTGATTTGATAGGATCACGACTGAATGAAAGACGCTTAGCTTGTGTGGCATACAAAAAAGACAAGGCAAATGCTGGTTATATATATTTATGACCAGCATTTGCAGTTGTTAAATGGAGTTCTCTGCTTTAAGCTAAATCCAGATCTACAACATTTTTGCTTCACATTCAGATCCTAAGCACCGAGACCATCTGCTTAGTAACCAAAGCATCATAGGACCACTGAAGCCAAGGAAATATTGTTCAAAAAGCATCATTAGCATCACTAAGACAGGACCAGTAT